CATAACAACGAACACTGCTATTCCGTGGCTGGTCAACTCTTGATGACGTACTTCCTTCGACTTTGGGCATAACACAGTGCGTGTTAAGCACGTTTGTACTTGTCCTGTTATCTCTTTGCGATCGGACGAGGTTGAGGACTGGTATATCCCAAAATGTCCTGTTTGTAGCTGTTCAACTGTGTGGTAATTTGAACTTATATGTTTCTTGACTTCTTGATGTGAATTTGTAGGATCTTTTTGAACATCAGTTGGTGCATTACCAGATGTTTGTGTATTTGGGATTAGTTTGTTTGGACTCTGTATTGAAGCTTCGTCAATATAACCTCTCGGATCAGAATTCCACGAGTCTCCCACATTGCACGGACTATTATCAGACATTGAGAAAGATTCTTTTGAATACAGTCCAGTGCCAGTCGCTACATCACTGTTGGAGAACGTCGAGTGCTCCGATGTTGAAACGCTTTTTGGATTAGTCACGAATACGTCACTGTCGATATTTGACTGTGGCAAAATGTGGCCGGATGTAGAAGACACATTTTGTCCAGAACCTAAATCAATATTTGCCGAACTATCAACAAGTTGAATAACGTCATGATCCGACACCAACCCCATCCCTCGAAAGGCTACTATATTGTCATGGTGAAGCTCTCGGAGCAGATGACATTCTAAGAAGGATGAACTGGCGCGGTCCTTTAATATTTTCACTGCAACGCGTGCTCCTTGAAGACGGCATTCATATACTTTTCCAAAGTTTCCTTCTCCTTTCAGTATCCAGTCAGAAAGCTGATGAGGACCAACTAAAGATGGTATTCTTGGTTTCGGAATGAGTTTTAGCAGTAAGAATAATTCATGAATTCGCGACTGCAACTCGCCTAAAATAACCCCGCCATTAGACAGACTGATGGAGAAATTATCGTTCAAGGGACATAACTCTTCCAGGCTATCAAAAACGTCCCGAAGTCTGTGTAAACTGGCACGTACACGGTTTTCTTGCTCCACCAGATCCATGCTAGCTTTAGACCAGCTGAGTTTGCCTCACTGTATTTATGCGAATGTTCTCGGTAATACATTAAAAATACAAATATGATAGTTCCATGTCCAGAAAAATCTCAGTGGAAAAGTACCTACACACTGCCATGCGGTATTCTGACGTCAAGTTGTATGGCACATTTATGCGTTATTGGTACGAAACATCTACTCGTCACTAGGTAACGTAAAAACGTATAACCAGAAAGTCAATGATTGAAATAGACGTATATAACTTGACTCGTTATCGCCTCATATATCCATGACTCATAAAGAAAATGCCTTGTTAAAAACCGGTTGTCGTTGACTGCACACACAAGTGACTTGATGATGTATTCAACTTGCATGCAAAAATCATTTTTAATCTTGATTTTTGATACTCACGGAGGACAACACATGTTTATATTTCTGCATTATCTCCACACATCTCAAGTGTACACGCTCGGGTGATTTCCTATCCCAGTTTATACCAAAGGATTCTTTGATATAACAAGTGTTGATTTTATACGAGACGCCCTCTATTGCTACACATAATACTGTATTACACAAACTTCCTTACAGAACAATTTCCTTGATAGCTCATTTCGTATGTTGATAACTCAGGCGACATACTTTGAAAAAAAAAAAAAAAAACAACTACACATACACAACTTCCTGTGTACATAGTTGGGTTTATAATACATAAATGATTGAAATTGTTGACAGTATGACGTAATCTCATGAGAGTGCTTTATAAACACGGTATTCTGTTCAGAAATAAGTATCTGGGCAAGCCATCTCAGTTTTAGAAAGTGCATTATACATAAATAACTGAAAAGTTGGAGAGTTTTTGATAATGTACTTTTTTAAACAATGCTGTCACCTGTTTCATAATAACATATTCACGAGCCCCTGTTGTTAAAGACAAAGGGCCTGTTTCCAGTAATGTTAATTCTCCATAGGAGCCTGCCCCCGTATAATTTCTTATCTAGCTCAACTACTGTTTTTTTCTTTTCCGAAAAATAATTTTACACCTTTCCGACACCCAGATTTCATAATTTCAGTGAAAATGTATTTTTATAAAGTTGTCAATTTCAGCATCAAAGACATAAGTTCGTAAATAAAAGAAGGTTATCTCGAAATTGTAATTCGCAACATAGTATAAATTTCTTTTGATAAATATTTCCAAAACATCGTGTTTATTCATAAAACATAAAAAAAATATTCTCGGATGAAAATGCACTTGCAGAGACACAATTATGAAGAAAAACGCCATAAATTTGCAATTTTCTCTCGTTATTTAGTTTTGGATGCAAATTTCCATCAGAAAATCGGATAGAGCTTTACTTGTTTCATATGTGTACCAAAAATCAGCTAATTCCATGTGGTGGAACGTTCTCATATCGCCGCCTGAATGTGGTTGTAAATTGAAAGAAAAGGGGAAATGAGTAACAACCTTGTCTGAAACCCTATTATATAGCTTATTATATACAATATTGAATATCAGAGCGGATATTTTCATGACAGTTTTATGATGTGTAACGACTAAATAAATAGTATCGATATAAAGATTTACACTGAGGACACCCTGATACATGAATACTGTTCTATCTCAAGCTGTCCTCTTCTGAATTTTCTGATCGTGTGGCCTTGTACATTTATCCGTATCTTCTTGTCTTTATCTATACGTTTACGAAATCATTCACTCGACGCTTGCTATTCTTGTCTCAATTTCCTTGTTTTATTGTCCCATCTCCAAAGGGTTGTGGCTCTGTCAGGGCTGGGACCCTGACTTGTCTCACTTTCTTTGTGCCTGCCGACCACGCCACATCGAATAGATAGATTATCCATATGAAATACTTTATTTTGTTCTAAGTAATCAATCAATTCTGCGCTTCTTGGAGGTATTGAATGTGATTTATCATATTGTCTTGTTATTTTGTGTAATTAGGTGTTCGTTATTTATCACACATTTTCGCATAATTGTACCAAACTACTAAGTATTAGCTGTTTACAGCAATCATCGGTGGCTTGCTATTTTGTTACTTTATCGACGCTTCATAAACCAATCTTTATTGTTTCAAGATGGAGGGTAAATGTGTTGGAGAAGAGTGTCAAGTGTACTTCAAGAAACGTAGTGGCAATAAGAACAGAAGTGCACGCAATGTAAATAGTCCACAATATAAATGGCTCCTAGATACGCTGGTGCAACAAGGATTGATGACAGCAAAGGAACAAGCATTTATTTGCCAGAAGTGCTACATGAAGTATCTTCGGAACAAAAATCAGCCTGAACCTGAACCCGAGCAGAACCAGGAAATAGAGGAGAAGACGACTCCCCGTCCCATATCCTGCCGTTGCTGACCCTTCATGATCTTTTGAATGGATCATCTTCACACAAAAAATGCTGTCTCTGTCTTGTTACCTTTCCAAAAAATGGAACAAAATCATCAGTCTTACCAAAACGTGCAAGACATCACCTGATCTATTCACACAAACTGTGGTGTCCCACCTCATCCCGCCTCTGCTCCATTCACCTTATTGGTAACGACTTAGATCCGTCTACAGAGGTTGTCCTTGATAGTAGAGGTTCCTTGGAATCTCAGTTACCATCAAAATCGTCCGAAATCATTAATGACCTCCTAGAGGTGTCGCACGTCCTTTCACAGAACCAGTCTGCGTTTACAATAAGCTTTTCTTCTCTTGATGACTCGGCATGCATGGCCTGGACAGGTTGGTCCAAAGATCAGTTCCTCGAAATCCACTCGCACTGTTCCCCATATCTTTCATCTGGTATATATACCAAGACTACACACGTTTTGGAAACCGGCCCTTTATCTTTTATTTATCCATTTTTCATAGTTAATTTGCGAGTTATGGAACAAGTTTAGGAAGTGAGGTGTGGTATATATTGTTTAACGTCCTTTCAATAGCCATGTTTATCTAAAGGACGGTAAGCAGAGAGAGTTATGTTGTGGTGTTCACGGCGTCCTCCGATCGCCAACTTTTAATTATTACCTGCTTTCACGGTATGATAATTCCTGATGAATCTAGGAGGTCCATAGTCGACATATATAATCAGAATCCTTGAACTTCCATTTGTCGTTTCCTGATGAATTATTTGAATTAACTTTGAATGAAAACAATCTAACCTTGGTGAGATTCATGGTGTTTATCGTAACTTCGACGTCACTAGGATCACAGATTTTAAATCTCCAATCAACTTCCTCTCACTGAGAAAGAAACCCATAGTTAGGATATTATGCAGGTAACATGCTGGGATCAAACACAACAAAGTTAGTTCAATTGAATCTCCTTGACCTAGCTTCTAGCTTACAGAGGTCAAATGTATGAAAAAATCTTCAAACAACCTGCATTAACCAAGGTGCTGTGGTCATGATATTGTGCCAGTGGCATACTGGAACAAAGGTCAATCAAACTGGCTTACTTTCAAGGTCAAAGTGTCAAATGGATAAAAACCTAGAACAAATTCTTCTTAGTGCCAACGATGTAATGAAGACTTTGAACAACTACGACCTAATTTCAAGATTACAAGAATCAAATGTAGCATTTAATAACCTTTACAAAACCAAGAGGCACATTGTCATGATATAGGCCTGAATCTAACAGACTTCTAAGGGGTCTAATGAGTTAAATACCACTAACAACTTCTAAAATTCTAGAGACCAAACAACAAGGGTCATATTTGTCCAGTAGCATGCCAGGATGAATGACCTTTAAATTATTTTCAAAGTCATAAGGTTAAATGTGTTAAAAACTCTTAACAATCTTCTCCCAATAACCAAAATACCCAGACTGCTGATATTAAGCCAGTAACATGCTTGAAAGATTTAAATTTTGCTATAGCTACTTTGGCATCAATTTGATTAATTTTACAAATTAATGAAATCTTCAGAAACCCAATCAGAATTGAATTTACTCAGTGCATATATTCAAAATGCAATATAAACAATAATGAAGATAGATGTATACATATTTGTAGGAATTTGATATTTTTTAAGTCAATTGAGAACTAGTATATTGCATGTTTCATTTTTGTGAAAAGTTCATATTATGAAATATCAATACCAACATGTGCATTACTATGAAACTGGTTAAGTATCATAAAGCAACTTAATTTTTTTTAGTGAATAGCCAACAATAGTGACAAGAAAAAGACTACAGGGATATTAATAACATGATATAAAAATGTGCACATAACATGTAAAAAAAGTTAAAATATTGACAGAAAACATTGTACATACACAATAATTTCAGAGTTCATTTGTCTGATGACTATTGTATAACGCATTGCATTACTACAGAGCATTGAGTATCATTCTCCCTTAATGGTTCGGACGGAAGTGCTTGAAGGTCCAGAAACCATAGAAACACACAGTCAAATTCATACATCTTAATGTCTGACCAGAGAACTGAACACCAGTTATCTTTGTGAGAGGCAAGTGCTTAACCATTCATGTGCCTTCCTGCCATCCAACATGGATAATAAACACTGGCCAGCATAAAAATAAAAATGTGAACGTGAAGAGAATGTTGTCATATTCTGGGAAAATACTATAAATTCATATATATCTTGGTAGGGCTAATAGTTTATGGTTTCTCAATATAAATCAATTTACTGACATTTGAGTTTTTGAATAAATAGCACAATACCCACTGGGACCAATATCCATTTTATTTTCACACCTTTATCATTTCAAACCAGGAAGTAACAAATTTGTATGCTAAGAGTAAGAAAGAAAATCAGGCAAAGGAAAGCACATAAAAAAAGCACAACAAAGATAACAAATATGTTAATATACAGTACTATGTAAATGAATGTTCAGATATTGTGTAAGTAATCTTTACAAAAAATATTTCATGTGTCTTAATGTTGTGTATTCTATGTCAGAGGCCTGCAGAGCCTGTATCACCTGGCCTTGATAAAGCAAAAGAAATTCTAAAGAAAAGTCAGAAAAAGTGTTTTAAAGAATTTGCTCTATTTCACCTATTAGGCCTTTTTCAATTCTTTTCAACTTTAAGATGTTTCAAACCAACTGGGAGACAGAATCCTTACATTCCTAAAGAAGAGGAAGAATTTTAAAGAATTTGTTCTTTTTCATTATTGGGCCTTGCCCCTCATTCCCAAGGAGGCCAATAGCTACATTTTATAACAAAAAAAAATAAAAATATTCAGTCACCTTCACCAAAGTATGTTTCAGTCTAAACTAGGACAAAATATATGCATTCCCACTAAAGAGGAAGGATTTTAAAGAATTTACTCCACTACATGTGCCTTAATGTTGCACATGTAAGAGGTCTACAGTATTTGCTGTATTTCCTTAGGGGACTGAAACCCACTGTTTATATAAATCTTAGACCCCTTCAACAAAGGATGTTTCAGATCTTTTATGAAAAATAATTTGTGCTGGATATCTTCTTTTGAATCCTGCCCCTAGGATTCCAAGAAGTCAGACCCATCATTTATAGAAAAAAACACAACATAGTCCTCTTCACCAAATAGTGCTTCTGACCAAATTTGGTAAAAATCCACTTGATCGTTCATGACTAATAGTGATTTGTAGTACAAGTTGACAAAAGGACAACAGCCATTGTAGTATTCTATATACGTACTTGACTCTACAGTCTGGTGTCCTTATCAAGAAGAAAACTCCCTATACAATATATCACAGTCAGGTACTGTTGATTGTCACCATCATCTCATTAGTGACCTGAAAGTTGGATATTGGCACTGAAGTATGATATTTCAGAGTGCAAATAGGTACATATAACTTATGAGAAGAGTACTTCATAAGACTAAAATATTACATGTAAACTAGACTGATTACACAAATACAAACAGATAACAATGTAGAAATTTTGGACACCTAAACCACTGGGTATAATCACTATCTTCAGTATGTCTTCTTAGTATTTTGAAAATTCTTGAAATTTTAAAGCAAAATTACTTTTTTTCTGAGTATATAAACAACCGGTATACAATTTGTTGTGGAGTATTACATTTTAATCACATCAATATTTGGAATAAGAATTAGAAGCCAGACTGTGACACTAAGAACCACCTATAAATCTTGGTTAAACTTTTGGTGTACTTTATCACTCCCAAAGAACGTCTCCAATACCTTGACCACCACTAGTTTGGCAGAACTAGCAAAGTTCTCATGATTATTTGACACAAATTCAACCATAGGCTCCAACTCAAAGTCCACAAAAGTCAGTGTCTGATGCTCGAACTTGTCCTTAGGTCCACTGGTAAAGCGCCCCTTGATGCTTTCTGCACTGAGGCGATGCTCCTCTGCTATCCGCTCATCCTTCAGGTCAACAAAACCACACAGACCCCACTCATGGAAATCAAACTTGAGGTATATGGTCATCAAGCAAATGGCATCCAGATCATTCCCTGTCAATTCCAGACCAATTTCCTCCATTAATCCTCGAGCCGCTGTGTTGAGTAGATTGACATATGTTTCACCTTCAATATTAACATAGTCAGGTTTGGAGACACTTTCTACAGCCCCACATGTAAAGTTACCTGGGCTTGACATGCCTTTTCTTCTAGCTCTTTGGGGAAATACAAATTTCTGTGGCTTATCTGGACCCTCATTGGTTAGAATAGCAACATGGAGCCCAAATGAATTGCTGAAGTATGGATGGACATCTCCTTTGCATGGAACTTCCTGATTCTTTTCTGAAGGAGAAAGTGACATCCAAATTTCTCGCATGCTGCGATGATGGCAATAGTCAGACTCCTTGAAATTGAGAGCAATGGTTTGTTTTTCATCTTCTCCAGGTCTTGCTAACACCAAGCCTTTCAGTGCTGATGTTGGATTGTTGTCTATCTCTCTGCTCTTGGCCATCTGTAGATATTTTTGTAGACAATCCTGGTACTGTGCTATCTCCTCTTCTGTCCACTGGATATGTGGGTCTCGATACGGTGCACCCTCTGTTTCTATCTTACATATCAGATTGTTGTGGTCATATCCTGTTGGTCTTTTTCTGTTGGGTGATTCTAAGTACCCAAGTGTTGCATCATCTTCCCCTATATAGGAATCTGCCACAAATATATCTGTTTTCTCCATGAATCCACACGAGAAAAATTCCACTTGTGTGGGGTCAATCTGGTATGGATTTTTATCCACTGAGAAATATTCTGCCAATAGATGTCTAGCACTTTTCCTTGCTTCTGGATCATGTTGAACACATGTTTCTATAGCAGCTCGTAGAGTCCCTTCCAAAGATTTTGGTAACTTCACAGGGTCATCGTCTGATTCATCAGATTCTGATGAAAGACATGATGATGATATGTTGGCCAAAGCTTTCACTCCAGTGAGTGTGTAAGTCATCACCAGTCCAAATGAATACATATCTCCTTGTTTGTAATCTGTGATATCATATTCCTTTTCCCCATATCTGGCAAACTCTGGGGCTCCCCATCGGATGTTTAAGTAGTACGAACTCATCCCTCGTGTTGTTGATCCTGAAGGTCTGACATATTCTGTTTCATTTGCTTCCCCCTGACTGTACCATGCAAGTCCAAAGTCTGCTACTTTCACCAAGATTCGGCTAGGCCCCACTTCTATGAGAATGTTGTCTGGCTTCAGATCTCTGTGAACCACATCCAGAGAGTGGAGGTAGGATAATGCGCTGCATATCTGCTTTCCGACACTCCAAGTCTGACTCTCTGTTAGTCCATGTCTTTCATGTGTTTCCAAATCCCTGATGTACTGGAACAAGTTCTTGGACATGAACTCCATTACAAGAAACATATGTTGATCTTCGTCTATCACGGAGTTTTCAGATCGTGAAATCTGGCCTAGTTCCTTTCCAGTCATATAACCCATCCCGCGATATGCCACGATGTTATCGTGACTCAAGTAACGAAGTAAGTCTGACTCCCTGAACTTAGTCTTAGCTTGTTCTTTCAGTGTTTTAACAGCCACTCTAGATCCATTCAGTTTACACTCAAAGACCATTCCAAAATGACCCTCACCGAGGAATTTTTTATCGGTCAAACTCCTTGATGTGACGCAGGCGATGGATGAAGATTTATTTGCTAGTTGAAGCAAATCTTTCACGTGGTCGTAAACTGTACTTACGGCTATTCTTACTTCTTTTACTGTTGTTTCCAGATTTTCACTTATTCCTGAAAACTTATTCACAAGTTCATTAATCGATCGAAAACATTCTTTAAGTTGTTCTGATCGAGTGTCTGGATCCATGACGATCAAATTCAATTTACTCTCAAAACGAAAGTAGAAAATTCGGAACGCTTCTATATCGCGATCTTACAGTTCGGAACATATCGGATGCTTTGATAATAGTCGTATATTTTTTGACAGCTTCAGTTCAATCTGAGGTCAAGGTTAATGCACTTGCACTCGTGTTAGCATGGCCGGTGATGGACGTAATACTTGTGATGTTCCTGAGATCGAAAAACTGTTTGACATCGATCCAAACCTGAGAAATGTCGAACAAGAAATCAGGAGAAGGTATTATTATGACGATGATTTTGATAGCTTTCAAATAGCACGTGTTAAATGAGTGACAGCGGCATTCAGTAGCTAATTGCTTTGCACGTGTGCCGTAAGTGCATGAGGCATGTATGAGGTTATGTCGGTCTATCCACTTTGGCATGTATAAAAAAATTCAAGAAATGATAATACAACTGCACTGCATTGAAAATATATGTTGATATATATTCATTATTATTGTAACAAACTCCTGTTGTCTCTCACTCTGAGAATATGTTGTGTGTCGAGGAAAATTTCAAATTGACATTTCTGAATAATCAGCAATTAACCCTAGTGATTAATATTGTTGATTAAATCATCCTCTTTATATAGATACATGTTCTTATACATACATATTTCCATTGCATGTTTAGTCCAGTATCCTATCACATCACTTTGGAATGACATACAATTAACCTAAGTTGGAGTTATCTGATTTTGTTCCGGATTCACTTCTTTTGAAGCTTGAGCATGGAAGGTCATTGGTTTATGTTGAAGGCCAGGAGTTTACCTTTGAATAGGTAACTGGGGTGTGAACAGGGAGGCTGGGAAAAGCAGGACACAGCAATTGCTGACTGTCAATTATATACATGTAGATTTGATAATGGTTTTTAGCTGTTACATTATGATGTATTTTATAAAATTATTTTGACCTCTGGCCACAGTTTGTCTGTGTGACACAGTTTTTCCATGTGACACAGTTTGTCTGTGTGACACTGTTTGTCCATGTGACACAGTTTGTCCATGTGACACTGTTTGTCCATGTGACACTGTTTGTCTGTGTGACACAATTTGTCCATGTAACACTGTTCGTCTGTTTGTCCTTGTTACACTGTTTGTCCATGTTACACTGTTTGACTGTGTGACACTGTTTGTTCATGTGACACAGTGTGTCCATGTGACACCGTCTGTGTGACACAATTTGTCCTTGTAACCCTGTTCGTCCGTTTGTCCTTGTTACACTGTTTGTCCATGTTACACTGTTTGTCTATGTGACACTGTTTGTCCATGTAACACTGTTCGTCCGTTTGTCCTTGTTACACTGTTTGTCCATGTTACAATGTTTGACTGTGTGACACTGTTTGTCCATGTGATGCAATTTGTCCTGTGGACACTGTTTGTCCATGTGACACTGGTTGTCCGTTTGTCCATGTGACACTGTTTGTCCTTGTGACACAGTTTGTCAGTGTGACACTGTTTGTCCTTGTGACACAGTTTGTCAGTGTGACACTGTTTGTCCTTGTGACACAGTTTGTCAGTGTGACACTGTTTGTCCTTGTGACACAGTTTGTCAGTGTGACACTGTTTGTCCTTGTGACACAGTTTGTCAGTGAGACACTGTTTGTCCATGTGACACTGTCCTTGTGACACAGTTTGTCAGTGTGACACTGTTTGTCCTTGTGACACAGTTTGTCAGTGTGACACTGTCCTTGTGACACAGTTTGTCAGTGTGACACTGTTTGTCCTTGTGACACAGTTTGTCAGTGTGACACTGTTTGTCCTTGTGACACAGTTTGTCAGTGTGACACTGTTTGTCCTTGTGACACAGTTTGTCAGTGTGACACTGTTTGTCCTTGTGACACAGTTTGTCAGTGTGACACTGTTTGTCCTTGTGACACAGTTTGTCAGTGTGACACTGTCAGTGTGACACTGTCCTTGTGACATTGTTAGTCTGTGTGACAGGATTTGTCCATGTGACACTGTCCTTGTGACACAGTTTGTCAGTGTGACACAGTTTGTCAGTGTGACACTGTCCTTGTGACACAGTTTGTCAGTGTGACACTGTTTGTCCTTGTGACACAGTTTGTCCATGTGACACAGTTTGTCCATGTGACACTGTTTGTCCTTGTGACACAGTTTGTCAGTGTGACACTGTTTGTCCTTGTGACACAGTTTGTCAGTGTGACACTGTTTGTCCTTGTGACACAGTTTGTCAGTGTGACACTGTTTGTCCTTGTGACACAGTTTGTCAGTGTGACACTGTTTGTCCTTGTGACACAGTTTGTCAGTGTGACACTGTTTGTCCTTGTGACACAGTTTGTCAGTGTGACACTGTTTGTCCTTGTGACACAGTTTGTCAGTGTGACACTGTTTGTCCTTGTGACACAGTTTGTCAGTGTGACACTGTTTGTCCTTGTGACACAGTTTGTCAGTGTGACACTGTTTGTCCTTGTGACACAGTTTGTCAGTGTGACACTGTTTGTCCTTGTGACACAGTTTGTCAGTGTGACACTGTTTGTCCTTGTGACACAGTTTGTCAGTGTGACACTGTTTGTCCTTGTGACACAGTTTGTCAGTGTGACACTGTTTGTCCTTGTGACACAGTTTGTCAGTGTGACACTGTTTGTCCTTGTGACACAGTTTGTCAGTGTGACACAGTTTGTCAGTGTGACACTGTCCTTGTGACACAGTTTGTCAGTGTGACACTGTTTGTCCTTGTGACACAGTTTGTCAGTGTGACACTGTTTGTCCTTGTGACACAGTTTGTCAGTGTGACACTGTTTGTCCTTGTGACACAGTTTGTCAGTGTGACACTGTTTGCCCTTGTGACACAGTTTGTCAGTGTGACACTGTTTGTCCTTGTGACACAGTTTGTCAGTGTGACACTGCTAGGTTTTATTAAAGAGGCTTATAATTGCCTCTTTCTGCTTTGCAACATTGTTAAGTATAAAACAAGTATGAGAGTTTAGTTCTGGAAGTTTGGTTTGTAGCTATGTTGGATTGTGATGTAAGAGAGGGTTTTTATCCTCTATTGGTGAGAGTGATGGTGCCTGCTGCTCATATGAACAGTTACATAGGATTCTTAATACAGCAGTCAAAAACTAAGGATTGGTGTTGAATTTTATTTCTTGATGACTCATTCTAACATTATCTAAACACAGGTGTAGTGACAGGTGTCTGATGGTAACTTGGAAGATAAGGTGTAGTGACAGGTGTCTGATGGTAACTTGGAAGATAGGGTATAATGACAGTTGTCTGATGGTAACTTGGAAGATAGGGTGTAGTGACAGGTGTCTGATGGTGACTAGAAAGATACCTACCAAAGAACTTCTTAATATATGCTTAATAAGGAGATTTTATGTTACATCAGTGGTGTTTTTTTATGGTTATTAGGCATGCATAATTATAAAAGATATACTTCAGCATGATAGTATACAATAGTGTACAGTAATGAAAGCCTATACTATATATAGACTTCCTTTCCATGATGATGAAGTTTAATAGACACACATTTCAGCCCCAACTCGCTTTAAAATCATGTTATTATTATTTTTAAGGTATGGATGCTTCCAGAAAATTATCAATGATATCAGCCAGTCTGAAGGAAGCTTGGAGAAATTTTCTCTGGGTTATGAGATTTTCGGAATTCACAGAACGGCAGACAATGGGATTAACATGACAGAATGGGCACCAGGAGCAGAGGGCATCTACCTAAGAGGAGACTTCAGTCAGTAACTTAAACAATTATTAGTTTAAATTTTGTTTATAAAAGGCAGAGAAATAATTGTTACCTGTGATTTTAGGGTTTGTTGCTAAAAGTTGTAAGGTTCACTGGAAAAGTCTGTTTGATTACATTTATTTGTATAATATTTGAAATATTCAATTTTGATGTTGTGTCTGAATTTGTTTCCATGAAATGAAATGGGGCATTTGTGGCCCAAAATCTTAACCTAAAAACTACATAGTATCGAAAGTATTTTGTATTTCTTCAATTAAGGTTAAGCATATGGCAGCTATTAGACGAAACATATTCAAACTCAGATTTTTGTTGTAAGAATGAGTCTGTTTTAGATGACTGGAACCAGACGGAGTATCCATTTACCAAAGGAGAATTTGGAAAATGGCATTTAACACTGCCCCCTAAACCTGATGGCTCATGTCCAATACCCCACAACAGTAAAATCAAGGTAATTAAACTTTTGTAATATAGATAGACAAAATTCAAGACAAGAAGTTTGAAAGTCCAACATCATAAGGTGTAGACACTTCATTAAGATTTTATTTTCTGTGACCTGACAACCATCCATCATTTTTTTCTTTTTATGGAAACTGTGGATCAATCTTTCACAAATTTTGTTGTTTGTCCTTTGTCAAAATTATTAAAAGAAATAGTATATTTGTATGTTCAACAAAACATCATTTTTGATTTGGTTTCTTAAACGGTTTGCAGTGTTCAACAGTTAGAAGAATTTGTTGTTTTGACAAGTAAATATATAAAATATAAACTTTATTTATTCTAAAAATAATTGTGAAACAAGCTATTAGCTTATATTAAATCACTCATGTCAGCCCAGATGGAAGCATAAGGGGGTCTTACTATTGGAGAAAACCACAGTACCAGGGGAATACCTGTGTGATTTGGCAGGTGACCTTTTCAAATACATTTGGGGAATAAAACCTGAGATGGCTAGGTAAAAGGTGAATGTGTTACACACTGAATCACACGACCAACTAGCGGCCTGGTAAAATGTGGTCAACTGGACTAGTAATAGAAAATGTATGCATAGAGGACTCCTATGTAGTGTATCAGACTTTAATTCAGCCAAGTTCAGTTGTGAATATATTGTCCATACGCATTGGACATTTTGCGAAAGCTGTTACCAACAGTCAGTTTACTTAATGTTAGCACCTTCAGTCTATCATACCTATTTACATTAATTCCTAGCTAAACAGTAAACCAGTTATAAAGGATTTCCAGTGATAGAGCTAATGTAAAAACATGGCAGAGAGGGTTATATTTTGGGACAAATTAGGGGATATTTTAATTAAACAAAAAACACACATAACATATAGAAATACTTGCTAAATATCAATTTAATTACTGTTTTCTTTCAAATCGGATGTCTCATGACCACGGTCTTTGTTTTTCTTTAGTTGTTTGATAAAAAGAAATTTTATTTTTGGCTGAGCCATTGTCATTAGGGAAACTTGGACGTCCCCATTTCACTAAGAGATAACCTGTAACACTGAAATGCTGTTACAGTACCACAGTATGCAATCATAGTTAAAGAAACGCTTTTTCCATCTTAGTTTTTACAAACTTACAAGTTGACATTTTGTTGTTTTACACAACAATGTCACACAAAAGGAATGCATAATAACCAATTGATAGCTAGACAGTTGACATCAGAGGTACATGAAATTACATGAAAAGGTATACTTGTTATATGTATTAGTTGCCAGTGAAAGATAACTTATCTGTTGGCAAATTCTACTCATCAGGATGAGTGCTTTTGCCAGGTCTTGCTTTACTTTTCAAATTTCTCGGAAGTTATGGAGGACCTTTCCAAAAAAAAATTCTAGGTATGTCTTAGGTGCCTTATTAGAAATGAAGTTTCACACCTTTATATTTGATAATGATTGTAGGAACTAGATAACTAACACAGGGACCATCTTGGATTTAGATTTTTAAACTAAGGAAAGAATCATCACAAAACATTATAGACAAGTAAAGGATTCCCAATGGTTCCTGCTACTGTTTGAACTTCGTTAATTATCACAAACTACCAAAAATTACCATTTGGAATTTAGGAAAATTCTTTACATATCAGAAATCTAGATTAAAACCTTCATACTAAGAAGGTACCATTATAAATGTCAGGAAAGGAAAAATTCAGGAGAAAGAAAAGAAAGTATGACTTTTATTTAGAACAGAAATTAGATCTTAAGTGTTAGGTGTCCTAATTCCTTATAGGCTGGTTTCATTCTACTCTAACTTTCTGTTCTACTCTACACTATAAAACTGTTGTGTAAATTTTTGTTGACAGCTAGTGATTCGTACCAAGTCTGGAGAACTTGTGGACCGCCTTAGTCCATGGGCCAACTATGTTGTGAGACAGGAAAAGGTTCCTGTGTATGACCAAGCGTTTTGGGACCCTCCGCAAGTATGTATGGGTACAGTCTTACTGGACCAATATTCTTTTACCTCCTCCGTTCATAGAAATCTTCTGCTAGTGATACTTCACCAGTTAGTCCCTCGCTTTGTCTAGAAGTGTAGAATACTGAAATCAGGTCTTGTGACCTACCATACACAGATTTATAATCTCTTGTCCTTTGTTATTTCAAAATTTTTCCAAGATTTTCCATATACTTCTCACAATACACACCTGTACTTTTACAATAACAGACTAACACAAATTCTCTGCTAAAACAATACTCATTTTTATTGTTACAATTACAGCCTTACACTTTCAAGAATCCTCATCCCATGAGGCCTGACAGCTTACGGATATATGAATGCCATGTAGGGATATCTTCATGGGAAGGCAAGATATCAACATATAAAGAATTCTCTCGAGACGTTATACCACGTATTAAGAATTTAGGCAAGTACAGCTCTTCAGATGTTATAAATAGTTATGATACAAACCCAGACAGTGGTATGTCGGCACAAAAGTATTATATTTTTTATTATATTGTAAATGTTTCCATGTTCTATGATGCTGTGATACATATAAAAATGTTATCATTTTTTACAGGTTATAATGCTATCCAGCTGATGGCTGTGATGGAACATGCTTATTATGCTAGTTTTGGATATCAAGTCACAAGTTTTTTCGCTGCATCCAGGTATGATATCATTTCCTTCTTAGACTAGTTAGGTTTGTTTCTATGGTTTGTCACCCCTTTGGGACCTCTAAGTAGTTGTTGGTGGCTTTGTCACGAAACACCAATGGGAGGCCCACCATATTCCACCCAGAGCAATAGGGGTCAAATGTTTTGGCCAAGGACACAACCATGATAGTATAGATCTGTTTGATTCTTAGCCTCCTGAATAACAAACCGTCACATGTAGGGGGTACCAAACTACACACCTTGGAACTTCACCTGAGGTTGTTAATATTCAACGGAATGAGATATTGCATCATTGTAAGCATTGTGATTTTATTCAGCACTGGATCCTCATTGTAAATTTATTCAACACTAGTCCCTCATTGTGATTTTATTCAGCACTTGTCCCTCATTGTGATATTATTCAGCGTTGGTCCCTCATTGTGATTTTATTCAGCACTTGTCCCTCATTGTGATATTATTCAGCATTGGTCCCTCATTGTGATTTTATTTAGCACTTGTCCCTCATTGTGATATTATTCAGCACTGGTCCCTCATTGTGATTTTATTTAGCATTGATCCCTCATTGTGATATTATTCAGCATTGGTCCCTCATTGTGATTTTATTTAGCACTTGTCCCTCATTGTGATATTATTCAGCACTGGTCCCTCATTGTGATATTATTCAGCATAGGTCCCTCATTTTGATTTTATTCAGCATTGGTCCCTCATTGTAAATTTATTCAACACTAGTCTCTCATTGTGATATTATTCAGCACTGGTCCCTCATTGTGATATTATTCAGCACTGGTCCCTTGTGATTTTATTCAGCACTAGTCCCTTGTGATTTTATTTAATGGTTCTCCTAAAGTACATGTGGTATGAACTCTGTAAACCTCACATTGATTGTATCTTTCCAATGAGTGCACAGTCAGCAAATTACTGGACAAGTTGAGACTGAACTGATTAAAGAATTAAAAAGGACGATTCTGCTACATAGACAATAACATCAAAAGGATGGTTATGGTGTTGCTGAAAATTCGACATCATATTGATGAATCTGTGATGCCGTAATGTAGATTCAACATGCCTTAAATTTTCATGACCAAAGCTGCTGTGTTTGACTTAGAACCTTGTGTTCTAACAAAATTTTCCATTACCCCCTGTTTGATGTTTCTCCATGGGATGAGATTTATTGATTTAAGATAGGTTTATAACAGCTTTTGTACGTTTTATTAACATTTTGTTTGAAATTCTGTTAAAATTCAAGGATAACATATCAATGTCATGGATTTTTTTTCTCATACGTTTTATTGACAAAGACAAAGACATATAAAGCCATACAAACATGGATGTCCTGTCATCCCATACACATCATCACATATCACTATCATTGATAAATATCTTTTTATACAAAATGAACTTTCTGTATCAGTATAGTCTAAACTGTAAAAAGGTAGACCTCTTGAAACTTACCATCTTTAATAATTTCTCTTATACTTGGTTCTCTCTAGTCGGTTTGGTACACCTGATGAACTGAAGGAGTTGATTGACACAGCTCATGGAGCTGGATTGGTGGTACTGTTAGATGTTGTACACAGTCATGCCTCCAAGAATGTCGTAGATGGTCTGAACCAGTTTGATGGCACGACCTCCTGCTACTTTCATGATGGACCAAGAGGAACACATGAGCTGTGGGACTCTCGTCTGTTTAATTACACTGGGTAAAGTACTGTTCCTACTACAGTATGTATCCTGCAATAAGCCCAGCCTCACAAAAAGCTACTCCACTGCCATGTAACAAGCCTGTTTTTGTCTTTTAGTGACAGGTCATGTGTCAGCCCTGGGCTGATAGTCAGATAACCACATTAAGCTTAATATCTTGGTAAAAGTGATGTCAACAATTTCATTTTAAATGCATTTTCTGTTGCGAAAATTTTAATATGCCAAAAAATGTTTTGAGAACACGCAAAGGACACGTTTATTTTTTGTTTTATGTGTGAATTTATTATGAGCCAATTTCAGCATTTGATAAATATAAATGGTTCAGTCTATGTAGCATTGAAAGAAAATGGAAATTTAGGGGGTCAGTTCCATTTTTGTGTGAACAGTGACCTTTTAACCCCCGATATGCAATAGTTTATTCTGTGGCTTTAATAAGGTGTTTTAGCAAGCATGCCGACATATCATCCTGATTCCTCAATGGCTTATGGTTTGATTTACAGGTGGGAGGTGTTGAGGTTCTTGTTGTCCAATCTTCGCTGGTGGATACAGGAATATCAGTTTGATGGATATCGCTTTGATGGCGTCACATCAATGTTGTATCACTCCCATGGAATGGGTAAAAATTTCCAGCTTATTTACATAGAGTAACATCCTAACTTATCACACCTAACACAGGTTTTCTTTCTTTTTTTTTGTAAGTTTTGACTTAAAGTCTTGTGATTGTTCTGTCTAGATAAAATGAAGTGTAGTTCAAAAAGTGTGAAAAACTTTTAATTTACCAGTTTTGTTGGTTTACTGTGGAATATCTACCTGTGAATCGGTGTAAAAGTATTTTCTAAAGAAAATTTAGCTACTGCTATTAAATCTGTTTACATTTGTGTTTTAAACTTGTTGAATTAAAGATCAAAATCTGTAAATAACAGCATTGAAATATTTTTTCTTTAGGCCATGGATTTAGTGGAGATTATAACGAATATTTTGGGCTAAACACTGACACAGATTCACTGGTGTATTTGATGCTTGGCAACCACATGTTACATTCTCTGTACCCTGACTTCATTATTACTGTCGCGGAGGTAAGTTGAAAAATTAAAAAAAAAAAAAAAAAAAAAAAATTGGTATTTCTGAGGCATCACATATGAATGAATGTTAAATTTGGTAGGTTGTTCTTTCTTCCTTAAAATGATTTCTTTCTACCAAAAGGTTTTGGTATGTTTGGTAGCTCAACTGATCTTCTTAAATCCCAAATGCCCAGGGTCATGATATTTGGTCAGTATGTAGCATTCTGGCATAGATTGCATAGATTGGTTTCAAGTTTATGCAAATGAATGTCCTTGACCTATTTTTAAGGTTACTGGGGTCAAGTGCATTTAAATATTTTAAAGACTCCTTGTTTGCTGTTGGAGGTCATACTTCGAAGTAATTGTTTCTCTCATGTTAAAGGATGTGTCTGGAATGCCGGGACTCTGTCGACCAGTGCAGGAAGGTGGGGGAGGTTTTGACTACAGGCTAGCTATGGCTGTACCTGATTTATGGATCAAGGTAAAATGTTGGGATTTGAAATTAAAATAGGTAACCAGTAGGTTTTTCTGTCAGATGCTTGATTTTGATTTTATGATTAACCCCCAACTTTCATTGTCAGTTCTGACAGTCTTGACACACATCATCATGGTCAACGTGTGGAAAGTTGCTTACCTGGAAATCAGTTTTTATGAATATGCCTTGTGAAAACAAGCCTATTTTCTGATCAGCAGCACATGGTTTGACCAAGGGTCTATACTGGGTGGCTAAATTTACTCTTAGGGAAAATTTGAAGAAAAAAAAAATAAAAGAAAAATCATTAGTTATCGTTTCACTTTAAATACTTTGTCCTTATATTTGATGATGCTTGATTAATACTGTTAAAGAAACAAGATACAAACAAATGTATACTAAAGACTTGTACTCTCTATCCTTATTGTAGTTTTTGAAGCACAAAAGTGACGATGAGTGGGACATTGGCCAAATGTGTCATAACCTTACAAATCGTCGCTACGGGGAGAAGTGTATTGCATATGCTGAGAGTCATGACCAGGCATTAGTCGGTGATAAGACTGTTGCATTCTGGCTGATGGACAAGGAAATGTATACCAATATGTCTAACCTGTCACCACCAAGTCTCGTGATTGACAGGGGAATTGCACTTCATAAAATGATTCGTCTTCTGACATGTGGCCTGGGAGGAGAGAGCTATCTTAACTTTATAGGTGAGAGTTCGCAGAGGGTGATGTCAAATTTCATAAACATAAATGGGTATTTATTGTAGGTGAGGAACAAATAATAGGGAGCTTCATTCTTTAAGGGAATAGTTTGTGGAGCAGGACTCCAGAACTACATACCAAGAGTTCGGTGAATTATTATAGCAGGGACGATGTTGAAAGAGGAAGTAACGTAGACTTTCAGTGTGATCTTTTTGACCTTCATAGCCATATTTAAAAAAGGAAAGAAAATTGATATTGAACATTGACATATCAAGGATAATGAAAATCATCTGCATTACATAAGACTCCGAACCATACAATGTAAGACATGTGACAGATACAAAAGCTTTTTCAATCAGGTAATGAGTTTGGACACCCAGAATGGTTGGACTTCCCTCGAGTGGGTAACAATGAGAGTTTTCACTATTGTCGGCGACAGTGGCAGCTGGTGGATGACAAGAACCTCAAATACCAGTACCTCAACAACTTTGATCGTGCCATGATGCAAGTAGAGGAGACCTATAAGTGGCTGAGTAACTCACAGGTATCTATATAAATGTGGTTGAGTAACACAAAGGTATCTTTTGTATTCATTAATTAATGTAGTAATATGAACATAATTCTGACTTGTTGAAATATCTATATATAGGGTGTCATTACTTGTTAGATATTTCATTGTTAATGGCTAGAAAAACATGTGTTGTATTGTCTCACTTTTCATTCTTCCACAGAACTATGTAAGCAGAAAACATGAGGGAGATAAAGTGATCGTGTTTGACAGAGCAGATCGTCTTGTGTTTGTGTTTAACTTCCATCCCACCAAAAGTTACACAGATTATAAAATTGGTGTGCAGAACCATGGAAAGTATCCTTTTTTTCAAAAGTGGGCATGCAACTGAAGATTATAAGAATCAAATATCACATTTTGATGGTAAAATTGAAGGTGGATGCCTAACTTAGAAAACTTTTCCCAAAGGTTAATCTAGTTTAGTTTATTGTTACTTTACATTCTATTGATAAGCAGGGTCATTTAAGGGTGTGTAAGGTTTGGATGGTGGAGGAAAGCCAGATTTCCGAGAGAAAAACCACTGTCCTGCGGCCAATACCTGGTGATTGCCCCACATAAGCCTCAAACCCATGACCAAGAGGTGAAGGGTCAAAAAGGTTAAGACTTTGCTTTGTATATCGTTCAACAGTGATTGATTATTTTTTAAACTAAATGTAATTGTGCCATCTTTCATAACAGTGTTAAGCATACATATGATCTCTATGAGACAGGCAAGTATTATACTATAGAATTATCAAAACTTACAGGCTAGGTGTCCCTGGTTTGAAGTTAATTCACTTAGAGGGGACAATATGGTGGACACATAGGAGTATTGGATCATTAATATTTATTTTTTTTAGTGATCAATTTTTAAAAAAGTGTCAACAAGTTGTAACCAGCGTTGTAAAGACTTCAGAAATCTTTTAAAATAATCTATAGTTAGCAACATCAGAAGATATGATTATAATACGTTTGAACATTGTACTAAATAAAGTTAGTGACATCAAAAGCCATTTGCTCAATATGATAGTAGTACATCATTGTACTAAGTTTCTGCTCTAGCGAAATTGACAGCTTTGTAAAGTTTGGGTTTGACGACATTTCATACAAATAGCATGGATGTATCTTCAGATACTGTTGCTTAAAGTACTCAAAGAAATTAGTAACATCAAGATATATATTATTGATATGATCATAAAACATCTGTGTACATAGTTTCCCATGTTGATGTTGATTGTGTACATCATGATCCTTAAAGATCGAAATTGATGACATTATCGCACTGTTATAATGTGACTTTATTACAAATTATGATATGTTTAGAATAAAAAACATAGCAGACTGACTTTTCAGAAGTAAGAGATGAATCTTTCCCTTTAATAGTAATGCACCTGTTAAAATGTCTTACTCTGTATCTCAGGGAGATACAGGAGAACTTCACATGGGATTTGATATTTGCAAATCAGTATGAAACACTGAAATATGTACGGCACAGAAATCATCTATACCTCTATATTTAGTAGATTGATAACGTATAAATAAATCAATAACAATATTTAGAGGTCAGAATGTCTACAATCACACGCAGCATTGAAAATTACATCAAAAACATTCTCTAGGTAAAAGAGGAGATATTAAATTATTTTTAAATCTTTTTGCACATTCATGGAAATTGAGTATCAAAGTAATACATTTGAAAACTTAAGGATCAGGAATCTCCTTACATTTTGTTTGACTGTAGATAGTTAGCTCTCCTTGACTACCCCAAGATACAAACTTGTGCTTGACTCGGATGCTGAGGAGTTTGGAGGACACAAGCGTTTAGACCACAGTGTTGAGTATAGGACCTCACAAGAACCCTGGGATGACAGACAATGTTCTATGATGGTGAGTTGATCAGGAGGCTTCACCTGTTAAAATGATCATCACATAGTATTACTTAAAAAACATCAGTCTGTTGACTTTCCTTGTACAATGTATAGCCAGTGGAGCATGGAATATGATTGAAAATTAAAAAAAAGTATCAGTAGTATATTCATTCAGCAGAAAGTCTGTGACAACAAGTCTGCTCATCAGTATTTATTGCTGTTCAGTGCTCCTTCATTGTCCAATAATTAACTCGCACCCTTACTTTGAGTCATACCCTGACTTTGAGTCATACCCTGACATTGCGTCATACCCTGACTTTGAGTCATACCCTGACTTCAAGTCATACCCTGACTGTCATACCCTGACTTTGAGTCATACCCTGACGTTGAGTCATACCCTGACTTTGAGTCATACCCTGACTTCGAGTCATACCCTGACTTTGTGTCATACCCTGACTTTGAGTCATACCCTGACTTCGAGTCATACCCTGACTTGGAGCTGACTTGGAGTCATACTCTGACTTGGAGCTGACTTGGAGTCATACCCTGACTTGGAGACATACCCTGACTTTGAGTCATACCCTGACTTCAAGTCATACCCTGACTGTCATACCCTGACTTTGAGTCATACCCCGAGTTCGAGTCATACCCTGACTTTGAGTCATACCCTGACTTTGAGTCATACCCTGACTTTGAGTCATACCCTGACTTCGAGTCATACTCTGACGTTGAGTCATACCCTGACTTTTGAGTCATACCCTGACTTCGAGTCTAATGGTTATGTGTTGGCCTATAGGCTTATTACAGAATAAATTCTGTAAATGTAAACATATTGTGAAATGTACATGTAGAATATAGATATTTGTTAAATTGAAAACTTCTGGTTTGTTTAGTGAAATTATGAATCGTTGATTTTGGTGGGTATTTTATTTTCGTTTGTTTCATGGGTACTTGTAATCTACAAATTCATATGTCTATGAACAGTTAAAATTAGTACAAGCACATTTATTGGGGTTTATTTTCCATGAAATCAAATGTCCGTGAAAAAGTTATCTTTTAAAAACCATGAAAATTGATTACAAAGAAAATATCTTAATTTACAGTAACATGCTTTCAAGAAGTTGGTTCCATATAGCCAAAGATATGCTAGATACATTTACATACATTCAATGGATGGTTTTATTGGAAAATAAGATCTGACTGATTGTTTCTCACAGGTGTATTCTCCTAACAGGACAGCCATTGTACTGGCTAAGGTGGATTGACGCTGGCCCTGTCACTGTTTTAACTGATCATCAATTCATCTCCAACAGAAACAATCTGATTCAGATATCTGTCCACAACAGATTTGGGTATCAGCTTACATACTAAGTATTCACCAATTCCTGCTATGTCATGTGTGTCAGCTTCTATTTATGGTAACCCAAATATCTGCAAAGAAAAAAAGAAATTGAAAAAATGTTTAGCTTGGTTATAGTTGTATTATGTGTAATCAATGGTTAGAAAATGAGAATAACTGGATTTTGTGGCCATGTGTGGTGAGTGGAAAGAAAAGATATTATGACAACATTTATTCAGGTACCAATTAGCTCAGGTGAGATGAATAGAGGTCAGTGATCAGATGACCTATTAGCTCAGGTGAGGTGAATGGAGGTATATGATCAGATGACATATTGGCTCGAGTGAGGTAAGTAAGAGTCAATGATCTGATGATTATGGGAGATAATAGTGATCAGATGAATGAGAGAGATTATAACAATCACATGATTTTCACAGATGATAATGTGGGGATGATAGTAAGGAAAGGTCACGATCAGATGATGGTAGGAACTGATCAGATGATTGTTAGAGATGATGGTATAAAGTATCACATCTGTATGTCTTGCACAAGCAACATCCAGCTGTTTAAATCATTGGTAATGAAGAAGCTGATTTTGTGATCACAACTTTTGTGATAATGAAGATGAAACTGCAATACTGGTGTAAAGATGCTTTTCTTGTAAAAGATGGCATCTGTAGACTTACATTGATTATTCCTAGATAACAACAACAATGAGGTGAGAAACTGGGAAAGGTTCCTAATTCTCAGTTTCAAATAGTGTTGTCGACCTACAGAAATGTATGATTTTGTAAAATGTGTAAGAGGTGCTTTGAATGTAGTTTTACTTACTGATGAAAATAACATTCAGTATTGTAATATATTTTGTAATCACATGAATCTCTGTATCTAAATATAATGTTGATGTTTACATATATTCTATGGTTTTCAAGTTAGTTGTTAAGACATACATTTTATTAAATGTAGATTTTATTATTGTCACTAAAATAATCACTAATTATATATAACCTGTACATTTGAAAAAAAAGGAGTCAGTTGACAAACATTACGGAGTGTTGGGTATTATATTCTCAGAGGTGTTATTTTTTAATTTTCTAATTTTGGGGGCGTGCCTATCGTCTTGGATATTTCTAAGTTCAATGATACCAGATAATTCTATCAGGTAATTAATTTGAATCAGTATTATGGTGTCACAAGATAAAAAATACATTGATTGTGTCTCTTAATATATGCTGACGAGAATGAGGCCTAACTGCCATTCTAGAAAACACAATTTAGAAAACAGTTGGAAACTGATAGAGTAAATTAATATCATGAAAATAACAAAGGGCAGTAATTCTTAAAAATACTGTCAAATTAACAAACTGCCATTCAGAAAAACAAAATCACAGGTCATGATGATTAAGGCTATCAAGTTTGAAAGCACTGTGTTGAAAACTGTGGGAAGGATCTCCCGTTAAACAAAGTTAACAATGGACAGGCAGACAACGCCATACCATAATATATCCCCTCACAGAAAGCCAATCAAGCCACAAAATTATTTCCTGTGTAAGCCATTGGTCTTCCCTGTCCATAGGCATGTTTACCTGCCAGTATTGATTATGACAATGATAAGTCAGCACAACAGGTCATTATACATATGTATTTTGGCTGGAGTAAGTGAGAGGGCGGATGATATCTTTTACTGGAATAAACTTTCGTGGTGCTTGTAAGTGACATGTGTTTGTTTTTTTATCTAAAAAGTTGACCACAATAACTATATCACTTCCAAGACTTTTTTTAAAAGTTCAATCAAATTTTCTCCAAGTATAAGAAATTTTTTCCTCCATGATTACATATATTCTCGTTTACTGAACACTTAATGCATGAATCTAAAGTTACTATTTTTGAAGAATATTCAGGATACTTCTGATGTCTTAGTTATGATATCAGTAAACAATATACCATAGATGAAAGCTATTCCTTTATGTCAATTTGGTACAAACTTGTCAATAAACACTTTTCTTGAGCTTGGAATATTGAACTTTCACAATTACCTCTATAGAAATTCCAAAATTAATTGTTAAGTATGAAGAGCAGCAAGAATACAGAGCAGAATTTGTTGAAAATTTTTGGTGCTTTTTGCACCGAAAATATTCCACTAAAATATGATTGTGCTTAAAGCAGTGTCTATTTAATGTATATAACAATTAATGTGGATGTGTCAATTTATCATTGTATTTATTTTCCAAGAAAGTAATATTGCACTAAAATTTGACTTAGACAAATTAAGTATATTTACAGTACAGATTTTAAGCACCAGCATCCATGGCAGTTGTTGTTTATATAATGTTAAAAGCTTGAATTCTTCACAATTTAATATTACAAATAATTAGTTTTGGAAAATGAATTTTGTTTGAAACTTCAAAATAAAATTGTATTGTGTTAATCAAAGATGGCTGCCTCTCGTACATCTTGTTCTTCCACTATAATTATATACATATGTAGACATTAACAAATGAATGCTGATAGGAATCTTCATAAGAAATTTTTAAGAAAAGTTGGGCCATCACTTCTTCAGAGCTAACAATAACAGTAAATCTCAGAGGGATCTTTGTGCCCACCATTGTTTGATCTTTATAAGCTCTTTGAGAGTTAGATTTTTTCCCTTCTTTTCTTTTCTCTTCTCTGTTTTTGCTCTTAATGGTAAGACTTTCAAACAGTCCTTTGCAGTAGTAGCGATGATAATCCTTATCTGCAAAATCAAAATTGGCCTTCTGGAAGTCATTCAGTTTCTTCGATCAGTCCCAAAATCAAATGAGCACAAGGAGAACCAAAGGGAACATACGTATGAAATTTGAGAGATACCCATTCAATACTTCTAAAGAAATAGCAATAACAATCTTTACTAGGCAAACTCCAAGATGGCTGCCTTTGGCCATTTTATTCTTTTGATCAGACCTTAAATCAAATGGGCACAATTTGGGACCAAGGGGAAACTACATATGAAATTTGAGAAAAACCCATCTCCTACTTTTCAAGAAATTGCGATAACAATCTTCATTGAAAAAATCCAAGAGGGCCGCCAGTCAGCCAGTTTTTTTTTATCAGACCCAAAATCAAATGGGCACAACTAGTGATCAACGGGAACCTGCATATGCAATTTGAGAAAGGTCTATCCAGTATTTCTCAAGAAAAAATAATAACAAAAATTTTTTACAAATGGACGGCCCACGGATGCAGAGTGATTTGAAAAGCTGACCATCTGATGATGGTGGGCTAATGAACATGACTGTCCATCAAAACTCTTCCAAACCAGTTTGATGTTTGCTGTCCACCACCTCTAAAATCATCTAGCAAAACTTAAGTATTACCTACAAACTTTAGAAAATAAGTTGCTGTCAGAATTTTCTATGGCATTCATTATATTTGTAGACTTAAATCTCCCTTGCTGGAGTGGGGTGAATAACAAGCTACTGTCAGATTTTTTCTGAGACACAACACCTGTAGACTTGTTCTCCCTTACTTAACTTGGGGTATAAGGTACTGTTGGCCAAGTATAATAAGTATAATAAGGTGTGTCTCTGAGACACTTATGACACCTATAGACTTAACACCCCCCCCCCCCTTACCAAAGTAGGGGTATAATAAGCTATCATCAGACTTTTTTCTCCAAACACCTGTAACACCTGTAGACTTAAACCAACCAACCTCCCACCCTCGCATAATTAGGGGTATAATAAGCTATTGTCAGACCTAGAGACTTAAACCCCCCTTACCTAAGTAGGGTATAACAAGCTCTTGTCAAGACTTTTTTCTCCAAACGCTTAAAACACCTGTAGACTTAACCCCCCCCAACCCTCACATAAGTAGGGGTATAATAAGCTTTTGTCACACCTAGAGACTTAAACCCCCTTACCTAAGTAGGGTATAAGAAGTTGTTGTCACACTTTTTTCTCCGAGACACTTATAACACCTGTAGACTTAAACACCCTCACATAAGTATGGGTGTAATAAGCTATTGTCACACTTTCTTCTCCCAGACACTTGCCTGTAGATTCTAATGTGAAAGTCTCACAAAAGTTGCATGTATTAGCTTATATACAAATGGATATGGAATTGGAGAAAGATAGATTCACAAGAATTTTTTAAGGATATGATGACTGATGGAGAAATTTCTGCAAAGAATGTTTATTTGAGCAGCACATGCACAAAATCTGTTCACGGTGGACTAAATATTTAAATGAACAGTAATTAAACAATGGGAATATTTTGTCCTTTTATTGATTATCATCATATACAAAAATTGTCAACATATTCCGATAAACATGTTTATAAATCTGTGACATAGTTTAACATACCTTTACAAAAATGATTAACGTTCACTGTGTCAAAGGACAACATACGTCCACTATAAAAACTGTTCACTGATGTCACAACATATTTTATTAATCAAATAAATGTAAATATATGTTATTTCTTAATAACTTTGTGTCACATGTTCAATCAATCTCCAGAAAATAGTCCATACAAATTGTTACACGTTAGTACATGTTCATGTAACGTCCACCAATCTCCAGAAAATGGACGAACGTCCTTTTAGTAAGTTCATGTACAAATAACATCCACCTCTCTCCAGCCATGATGCAAGCTTTGGTCATCTTGATTGTTACTCAGAACTTTTTCACTCCAGAAATAGATAAAGTGTTTGATTTTACAACATCAGTTCTAGGAGTTTCCAGTTTTGTAAGTCATAACACAATGTAGTAACAATCCTGACATAACGTTCACTGGGTTTCTGTCAGACTCGTGTCTTGGCCGTCACAATGTAAACTAGGCAGGCCATTGAGTGTTTTCAGCCTGTATAAAAAAGAAATAGAACAGTATAGTTATCACCAGCTCTTTTGTATAAAATCTATATCATTTTAATTTCGGAGTCTAATAGCGTTTATTCAGATGAATCAATGACTAATTTGATTAATCAATCTTACGATAATTTACTTTTGTAATCCTCTGTTTCATCTCTACTAAACCATCTTAATTTGCTACAAGTAATTAATCTTAAATTTATCTTTAATCACTGACTATGATATTAAAACTTTGAAGATTCATTGTGATCTACAGAAGACCTGAAAAGTGATGAAATGCAAGAAAACTTTAATTTAAATTCCACCCAAATGGATATTTAAAATGGATATCGACTGCATCATTCTATTTTAGTGAGTAACCTAAAGTTTATATAATGAAAAATGAATGACGGATCATAGAAAATTCCAATAGTACAATTGTGACTATGTTGCAGGAGAAAATATACATACCCACGATTTTTACTGGAAATCAGTGGAAGAAATCAGCACCACCAGTAGGAGATTCTTTGCTACAGTCATACCTCAAAGAGTCTGTGATGAGTTGACATGCCAACCACTTTTGCAAATGCTTTTAAAATTGCAAATTTGTCCTACGACCATAATGGTAAACATCAAACTACAAATGAATATTCTGACCTCAGTTGTTAGTGCTAAAGCGAGACAAACCCCAGATTGAAAGTAATATTCAACTTTGAAGTTGAATTCTATAGGAAAAACCGGGACGACTTAAAGGATGATGGACACACTACACAGTAAAATCGACATAACCTTTGCCAGTTTCCACACGATACTCTAATGACAAGGATGGGACATAGGAAACACTGAACTTATCGGTCGTCTATTGTTATCATTATGATACGAAATGTCATCTTTCCACTGGATATGCTGGACAAAATTCCAACTGTAGTACACAAAACTTGTCTTACATTTTTTATTCTTCAAAGCATACACACCATAGTTATAATTATCAAAAACATCTATCACCACACTTTCATGAATAAATCCACAGAATGTTTAGATTTTACAAACCTTTAGACATAGAAACGTGTTGCTTGATACCTATGATATTCAGAATAAAAAGTTCAGTATGTTAAATAAAGGTTCCAACAAGAAATTTTTTCAGAGTTTTGGGCAACTTGGGAGGAAAAGAGAAATTACTGTTACTTAAATGGAAAAAGAATACAGAGGATTTTTTTGGGATAATGTTTAGCTGGTTACTCGACAGTTAAACTTCACCAAATAGGGATGACCTATTGTCATCAGGCACAGTCATCATCTCATCAAAATTCAGAGTAAGCCAAATTCAGACAGATCTCTGAATATAGTACCAGGCAGATCTAAAATCTGGTTGTTGCCCAGTCGCAAGTGGGCAGTTTAGATAGCTCATGAAAAAGAGCACCAGGCAGATCTTAAATTTGGTTGTTGCCCAGTCGCAAGTGGGCAGTTTAGACAGCCCATGAAAATGAGTACCAGGCAGATCTAAAATCTGGTTATTGCTCATTTGTAAAAAGACAAGTGTAGATAGTCCATGAAAAAGAGAGCCAGGAATTGCCTTTATCTGATTGGATTCTAGGGTGAGGATTGTAAGCTCTATATTCTTGAATTATTTTGTGTGTACATGTTTGGACTTAAATACCTATTTGTAAATGTACGACTATGAAGGCTGCCACCAGGCCATTCTGAAAACCCACCTTTATCTGGGTTTTTTTGTTCTTGAGATAAAAATCCTTTACATTATTATATGGTAATCCTGGACAGGGTTTCGGGCTGGGTACAGGCTTTGGAGTACACCTATCATAAGTGACAAAATGAAAAGATGGCAGTTTGTGTTGAATGGGTAAGCACCTTGATGACACCAATATGGAA